GGGAGCCGTTGTTGGGGCTTGAGGGGCGGGATCGGGATGGCAGCAATGTGGTGGCCGGGGTCCGGAAGCTGTCGACGCTTGTGGGTGTGCTGGGGGAGCGGAGGTAGGGATGTGGTGTTGTTGGGGTGGTGGGAGTTTGTTGATGAGATTGAGTGGGACGGAGGCGGGCGAAGGTTGGCGTCTGTGGCGGGCCGGATTGGGCGCGGGTGAAGGGTGAGGGCTGCGCTGGGGATATGGGGGTCCTCTGTAGATGGGGAGGATATGTGCCTGGTTGATGGCTGGTTTCACGGCGATTGCAGTCTGTAGCCGATGGAAAGGCGAAAGGAGTGGGCGTGTATGGTGACTGAGGACTAGATGAAGCAGTGCCAGTGGCTGCATCTGAGTATGCACGATCTGGTGTTCGTGGTCGGATTGAAGTTCTTTTGGGTGAGACATTGCTATCTCCAGTCTCGATTCTCGGAAGTCGTCTTCGATCCTGGTAGCTGACCTCATCATCAACCAAATGTATGCCTTCCTCCTCTTCCTCTTCTATGCTGTCGTCGTCCTCCTCCGCACCGTCCTCGCGTCGACCACTCGTAATCAGATATACTCCAAAGAATGTCAAAAGACAACCGCCCACGAATTTGGCACCGCGCGCAGCGGTCGTAGATTCGAAGTCGCGGTACAAAACAGCGGATCCAATGATGACGGAGAGCGTAAACAGGACAAACTGGACCGGAATCACCTGGGTAGAGTCGAATCGCTGAAGTGCGCGGTTGACGTAGCGAATCTGCATCAATGCAGAAAACACTAGGATCAGTACCAGGAAGTAGGTGATGGGAAAGGTCAAGGCCATCCACAGAGTGCCGGAAAGGAGCGATGCCACGCCCTTCGTGGAGAGAGCGGTGTATCCCCCAAACAGGCCCACAAGTCCCAGGTCAATCAAGATCGTGCGGTCTCCACAACGTGGGCTGGCAAACATGAGGACAAGGATAACGCCGGTAGTGATGCCGACATATGTCAGAAACTCCCAGCGCATGATCGCGTCCCACAACTCATCCTGACCAAGCTTGGTTTCGCTTGTTTTGGCGCTAAGGACGACAGTGACAGCACCAGCAACGGCAACCAGAACCCCCCAGCCATCTCGCATCCGAAAGCGCTCTTTGAGCATGAACGGAGCGATAATGCAGTTCGAGACGAGCGCAACGACACCGAGTGGACTGACAATGGACGCTGGGGCAAAGCCGTAGGCCAGGAAATTGCCAGCCTCACCGATTGTCATGAGGATGATGCCAGCCCACCAATAGGGCGATCTGAGATAGGACTTCCGTTCGTCTCCATTTTCCGACTGCTTCTCCAGTGTCGTGATAGTACTTCCAGAGTGGTAAGTCTTCAGCAATGGAGACGACTCATGCGGAGCCTGGTCTCGGTATCCGTGAAGGCCGTGCCGGCTGTGTGCTTGATTGTTGTCTGGTTTGCCTGGCCCTGGCGCATCTGCATTGATCTTTGCCCGCTCCTCCGCAATCTGCTCCTGCGTCGTCGCACTGTTGCCCAGGTTTCTGCCACCACTGGACAGAGGCATGTTCGACTCATGGTACTCTCGGGCAATGCGGATGTGCGCATAACGTTGTATGTTCAAGGCGAATGAGATGAGGACATTCCCAATGATGGCGGTGACAATGCCGATGATGGAGCTCCATTGGCGCAGCTCGGAGAAAACATCGACCCATCCATTAGGTACCGCAGCGACAGGGTCTCCATGCTGCAAGCTGTAGGTGGCTGATGGGTCGAAATGCTGTGGAATCCACATTGCTGCTGGATTTATTCCTGTCGGCCTGCGGACCTCTGTTTAAAAAGCTCTGCTATCCCGCTTGCCGTCTCATGTTCGATGTGTCAAGATCGTCACCTTTCTTAGGATGTTCGGAGCACGTGAAGCTCAAGCGACCAAAGTTCTGAAACTCGGAGTATATTTTTGGCTGAATTCTCGAAGGGTTGTTCTGGGGGCTGTTACTGATGTCAAACACTCATGCAAGTAACTAAGTTAGGAGTCAGCGGGGGCCGAAGGGCCTCGGGGCGGGGATGTTTATTACCATGGCGCTCTTCTACTACTACTACGTAGTAGTACTACTAACTTAGTAGTAACTACCCATTGGAAGCCAAGACCGGAGGACCATCCCCAGGTCCTTTGTACGTAGTATAGAACAAAGATCCAGTGCTGGTTTGGTAGATATGAACAGAAACTTTTATTGTCTAATGACGATAAAGAAGTTGTCTGTGCGTCCAATGCCTTGTGTCATTCACTCACTCGAATGAATGTCATTAATGATGCGCCTCATGGGCATACGGCTGACTGGCTAAACCACCGTGAGCAAAGCATGTAAGTATCGAATTCAAGCCCTCTGCGCCTACATCCGGACCAGAGCTTTGACTGGAAGCAGGGCAACTCAAGAAAAGGCCAGAGAGGGCAGCATCTTCTCTAAGGAATCGGTTGCATCCAGCCCTGCTAACTTGCTCATCTGAATCCATTTCCTTTCTGGAAGTCTTCACGTGTCGTAAGATGCCCTCTCGGACTTGCCCATAGGCACTACCGTTGCTGTACCAGGAGCGGCACGGGATGATGCCGTAGGGGACCTGCCGTCGCAGTGGGCACTGATTGTGGTGTGCTTCATGCTGGATCAGCGTGGATCGTACTTGCTTTTCTCTCTTGTCCATGCAGTCTTCACGTCTTAGCCTTCTTCTTTTGCGGACCTTCTTCTGCCTCATCGTCACTAACTTTAGCGTAGATGGTCTGGGGTTGCGTTTTTTTCCAAGCGTTCGTGAACATGGGATCCTTTTCAGCCTTCTCAGCATATTTTAGCAATGCCTCCCTCGGATCTTCATCCCGCATAGAGCTCAGCGGAATGTTCTTCCTGACCGAGGCCTCGTCTGGTTGATTCTTAGAAAATGGAGTTGTTGCAGGAAGATGTGGCCGGCGAGGATCCCTGGATTTTCCAGATGCGGTAAGACCTATTGTAGGATGGCGCGAAGTGTAGCTATTGCCTGCTTGGATCCCAGCAAGACCAGTGCCGGGATTGATGATCATGTCACCCGATATTCCCTGAGAGAGGTCTGTGGTGAGAGTGGGATCATCGTCGAAGTGACGTCGTTTTGGTGCTTTGGACACGATCATCAATGCACCTTTCGTTGAGATTTTCGGATTGTACAGGACGTGTGTCTCTGCATTGGCAGAGCCAGTGAGAATCTGGTTAAGCTTCTCGTGCCAGAGAACGGTGATAAGAGGTGATTGGGGCGTGACAGGGGTGACAATCTCTGGCTTCAATGTTGCAGGATTCAGTATGTGAAGGTGTCCGGTTTCCGATCCTGTTATGACTGAGGCACCGTTGGGGGAAAATTGAATATTCGAGGCCGGATATTGCGCCGATGTCGAAGAATGCGCCACCGAGTTAACAGGCTGCTTGAACTTTCTTGTATCCCATAATTTTATGGTGTCATCACCACCTCGCGTAACCACAAGCCTTCCATCTGGGCTGATGTCCACTCCGCTTGTCCAGGTCCCACTTTCATGAGCATCCTTGATCTCTGCGCTTGGTCGATTGTACGGTCCTTCTCCACTCCACAGCATCAAACTTCCATCAAGCGCTGTCGCTACCAGAAGACTATTGCCTCCCTCGGCCTGGCTCCCCCATGTTACAGCGGTCATTCTACTCCTCCCTGCCGATCCAGCCTGTCTTGACTTATGCACGATGACCGCCTTTTGCCTCATTCTCGAGTTGACGTCCCATATCCGTAATGTACTATCGGTGCCAGCCGTCACGAATAGATCCCAGTTACTGGGATGCCATGTTCCAGCAGTAATTTCACTAATGTGACCTTTCGTCATGTTCATATCGCGCAAGTACATGTCCCCCTTTTGAAACTCAGAGATGACCTCACCATCCCTGCTGAGTATTCTCGCTTGAGGAGTGGCAGATATGACAAGCACTTGACTCGGGGAATTAGGATTGAACTTGGCAACATGGATGGGATGTGTTTCAGTATTGGCTGAGGTTTTTGACGCTGTAGGATCAACCGATTTGAAAGCGCGTAGTGTGGTGGGTGTCATGGAAGCAAAATCATGCAGCTTTATCGTACAATCAGTTGACCCCGTAATCATTCGTGATCCTGCTGGATCAACCGTGATGGTCGTAACTGCCTTTTCCTGTGTCTTGAAAACCAGTTCATGGGATGTGGGATACTCATCATCATAGTCGGAATCATCGTCGGAATCATCCTCGTCCGAACTAGACCCACCATTCGAGCTTTTCGTAACGGATTTCTCTCGCTTTACTTGGGCAGTTCCAGTCGGTCTTTTGGTGCGATCGATCTGAGCGTCGATATTTGTTCCATTCTCATCCCCACCAAACGAGGAAGGGAAAAAACTTCTCAGCTTGCCATCTTCCAGATCACTATCATCATCCATTTTCCCTAACCATAGACTTTGTTCACGAAAGCCAACTTGGTAAGATGCCGACTATGGACACAAGTCTTGTCCAGTTTGCAACTTTGCGATGGAAATGGTAATTCAAGATACAGTTAGAGAACCCTCTTGTAATTTAGTGACCGACAGGAAGGGCTAGCCAACAGTAAGCTGCAAGCGTCTAACACTTCGAACTTACCACAGGGGAGGCATAAAAATTGTTAAGCTGGTGTTAGTAGCGGCTAGTTTCTGTTACCGTATCGCAGTGCTACTATTCGTTACTGCAAGCATTGGCTTGAGCGCATCCATTCAAACGAGTTAGAAATTTACACTTAATCTAATTGGGCCTAACTAGTTGTTCTGTGCAGAGGGCATGTTCGAGTAAAAGATACTAGTGCTGAACTAACAATATTTCATGCAAAACATGCCTAACTCAATATCCTCCTGCAACTAAATTCCGGAGCCTAATACTTAGCTCCGAGGCTCAACATGTGGATTCCACGGCTCCGGAAAAGACAGCCTGTGCCTAGAGCTAACACCCCCCCCCTTGGTCAAAATATTTTACAAACGCCTTTTTTACATACGTATCCCTGTAGGCATCCCTGTCACTATTTTGCACAAATTTTGCTTATCCTGCAGATTCTGCTCATTCTGCTCTGTACGCATTCTACTAATTCTGCATAAATACTAATAAGCTTAATGATGGGACGGCAGCTGTTAGTACTCCATAGGATGCTGCATCTTCTGATTGTCTTAAGAAGCTGCTTCAGTCGATGCAGGCGAGATGGCAAGTTATTATGGATGTCAATAGAGAGTAAAAACTAGATTGTGGAGCGCTAGTCCTATTTAGGCCGGTCTGAAGGTGTCTACACTCAATTCTACATAGTACGTTTTGTACAGATACTAATGTTTTCAGAAAGGGGGGGTACAAAAATTCGGCCTGACACTGTACTATGGCTACTGGGGTAAATATTGTACCCCCCCTGGTGAAAACGCTAGTATTCGTACAAAACCTACTATGTAGAATTAAGTATAGATGCCCTCATATTAGCCCAATTAGGACTAGCCTTCTAAAATCGAGTTTGATTTCCATTGGCATCTATGACTGCTTTGCATCTCTTCTGCATTGATTCAAGCAACTCCTTGAGATACTCAGAGGGCACAGCATCCCATGCAGCATTAACTGCTATTCGTAACTCATCATATTTGTATAGGGTATCTCCATAACGCTCTTGTATCCAATCCTTCATCCAATTCCATACCGTCTCAATTGGATTCAAATCAGGCGAATATGCGGGCCATTGAATGCATTGAATGCCGTGTTGACAAAGAGCTCGAATGGTATTCTTAGCAGCATGAGCAGGTGCAGAAT